TGCAAACCTCCACCTCCCAGCTTCTACGCCATTCTCCTGCCTCAGCCTCCACCGAGTAGCTGGAACTCATGGCTCCCACCCCACTATGCCTGGCAACTTTTTTGGTAATTTTTAGTAGAGATGGGTTCAACCATGTTACCAGGATGGCCCTCCGGGGGCTCCTGACCTTGTGACACCCGCACTCGCCCCTCCCCAAAGTGCCTGGATACAGAGGTGAGGCCTACGGCTCCGGCCAAAGGCCTTTTTTTAAAAAAAATTTTTTTGTGGGGTGGAGGTGCTCCCAATGGTTGGCTCCAGGCTGGTTCTAAACTCCATGGCTCAAGGTGATTCTCCCACTTGTTTTAATTTCCTATCTTGCTATTATGACAACAGCTTGCAGGACGAAAGGACAGTATTGGCGTTTTAATAGTTTTAAAACTATTAAACAGACCTGATTATTCATTATGAAAATGAACCTTCTGGCAGGGGGCAGTGGCTCATGCCTGGAATCCCAGCACTTTGGGAGACCAAGGCGGCTGGATCACGAGGTCAGGAGTTCGAGACCAGCCTGGCCAACATGGTGAAACCCCCATCTCTACTAAAAATACAAAATTAACCGGGTGTGGTGGCGAGCACCTGTAATCCCAGCTACTCAGGAGGCTGAGGCAGGAGAATCACTTGAACCTGGGAGGTGGAGGTTGCAGTGAACTGAGATTGCGCCATTATACTCCAGCCTGGGTAACAGAGTGAGACTCCGTCTCAGAAAAAAAAAAAAAAAGAAAATGAACCTTCTGAGTAAAAATAAATCCTCCGTCTTACAGCAGTATATTTAAATAGATTGACAATCGTATATAACAATTAAAATTTATTCAGTGCCTGGGCGCGGTGGCTCATGCCTGTAATCCCAGCACTTTGGGAGGCCAAGACAGGCAGATGACCTGAGGTCAGGAGTTCGAGAACAGCCTGGTCAACATGGTAAAACCCTGTCTCTACTAAAAATACAAAAATTAGCCAGGCGTGGTGATGTGCGCCTGTAATCCCAGCTACCCAGAAGGCTGAGGCAGGAACCCGGGAGGGGGAAGTTGCAATGAGCCATGATCCAGTCACTACACACTCCAGCCTGTGAGACATAGTGAGACTCTGTCTTAAAAAAAAGAAAAAATTATTCAGTGCCTATCATGTGCTGGGCAGGGTGCTAAGCACTTTACATGTATTATATCATTTAATCCTTACATCCTTTCAATGAGGTACTGTTTTTATCTTGTTTTATAATAAGGAGACTAAAGGTCACTCAGCTACTAAGTAACAGAGCCAGGATACAAAGCTGGACAATTTTGTAGGTGCTGACTTTCTTAGCCACCGTAAATATTGCTAATCCTTATCTAACATTGCCAAGCATAATAGGAAAATACATTTAAGGTCAGTCTTCCTGTTCTAATTTTCATATCACCTGTTTTAGGAGAGAGAATAAAATACCAAAAAGCAACAGTTTTATTTTAAATTTGAAAGAGTTTAAATTTGGCAAAACATATGGTTGGTACAAAAATGCTTTTCTTAGCCATTAGGGAAAGGGTTCTAATTTGACAACTGAGAGTCATTTTTGCACTTTGCCATGCAGTTCCAGCTAGCTGAAGTAAAACCATTTTGTGGATAAAGAAAAAAATTAAAGGTGAACTCCCATACATTTTGCTTAAGTCATTGTCCTAATCAGACAACCAGACAATTCCTAAAAAATGAAAAAATAACCGCAATGTCCAAGTACTTCTTTAAAATATGTATATTTCTAGTAAGACATTCTTCTGAAAATCTATAAGGGAATGATTTTTCAATGACACATTAAAGAAAGGGCTGCCGACACTTTCTGTAAATAATCTTCTAACTCTGGTTCTGAACCAATCATTTCTTGCAGCTTGTATTAATAATTTATTGCTAACCAAAATCTGCACACTAATCTGTACTCTACTAAATTTGAAGAATTAAATCTGGCTTTGGCTGGATGCATCAGCTCACACCTATAATCCCAGCACTCTGGGAGGCCAAGGCAGGAGGATCACTTGAGGGCAGAAGTTCGAGACCAGTCTGGGCAACACAGATCCTGTCTCTACAAAAAACTACTAGTTGTGGTGGCATGTGCCTGTAATCCCAGCTATATGGGAGGCTGAGGCAAGAGGATTGCTTAAGCCCAGGCATTAGAGGATGCAGTGAGCCAAGATAAAAAAAAATCTGGCTTTATTCTATGCAGTCAATTTGAGAAAACTATACCTGCAGAAAGCAAAATTTTTAGAAATCCTTGAGGGTAAAAACTACAAATGCCAAAAAAAAAAAGTCACTTAAGAGCATGTACTCTATACTGTCTAAAGTAGAAAGTATGAAGATGAATGACATAATCACAGAACTTTTTACTTTTGACAAAAAAGGCACGCACCACTGTGCCCAGATAATTTTTGTATTTTTTTGTAAAGATAGGGTTTGACCATGTTGCTGAGGCTGATATCGAACTTCTTGGGCTCAAGGGATCTGCCCACCTCAGCCTCTCAAAGTGTTGCGATTACAGGCATGAGTCACCACGCCAGCCTATTTCTTCCTATTATGCTTGGTACTAATAGGTACCTAAGGAGGTAGACGTAAACTCCCCCAAAATACAGATTAGTGATGCTTAAAGTCAATATCAATGACTAAAATTAATGGGTTTCCTATTTGAAAAGCCTATATGACCACATATTTCAGTCCTACAAAGTTTAGAAGTCCAATTAAAGTGGTTTAATCAGGTGAGTTACTCAGTATTTACAATATTTATATCTAAACTATTCTGTGATTCAAGCAGTCAGGCAAGTCTGCAGGAAAGTGTTCCTCTTCTGGCCCCTGGCTACTGAAGGGGTAAGGTCTACCCTGATTTAAGTCATGCCCTTAGCCAGAATCAGCCAGAGTATGGCCACCGGAATGTGTTCAAGCTAGCAATGGAAAGGAGAGGCTGAATTTATATGCTTACAGCTCCATAACACATACAGGTATACATTTACATACATGCACACATGCAGACACACATACCCTCTCCCCTTAAAATTTCCCTAACTCTACATTATGGTCATCACACTTCAAATTATTTTCAAATCATATCTATTTCCCAAATTAAAGAAAATCAAGTATGTATCTTGTTAACAATCAAGATTATTAACAAAACCATAGTAATTAATTTTGACAAAAAAGTTTTTCTTTTTTTTGAATGTAGTGTTCTAAGGTCTGGATAAAAGCCAGAAATTTACTGATTTTAAGGGTATTCTTATCCAAAAAAAGTAAAGCACTAGCTTGAAATACATACAATTCTTTGAAACACAATCCCCATTTGAAACTTCTTTTTGAGACAGGGTCCCACTCTGTCACCCAGGCTGGAGCACAGTGGTGTGATCATGGCTCGCTGCAAGCTTGAACTCCTGGGCTAAAGGGATTCTCCCACCTCAGCCTCCCAAGCAGCTGGGACTACAGGTATGCGCCACCATGCCCAGCTAATTTTTTGTATTTTTTGTAGAGATGGGGTTTCGCTGTATTGCCCAGGCTGGTCTCAAACTCCTGGGCTCAAGCAATCAACCTGCCTCAGTCTCTCAAAGAACTGGGATTACAGGCATGAGCCACCACACCCAGTCAGATTTTAACTTCTACAATATTTTCATTTTGGAAATCATTTGTTGAGCAACTCTTGTGTTGCAGCGGAAGTGTTATACAAGATACTGAGATTTCATAGATCTATTGGACAATGTCCTTGCAAATAAATTTTCTACTTAGAAGCCTATAAGAAAAATATGGCTTTTTTCCCTACATTCTTTCTATAGGCTTCTAAATAGAAAATATACAAATTCTCATCTTTTATGATCCACAAAATCCTAACACAGTTCCATTAGTTTCTGAAACACAATTGCTTTAAAAGAGGTGAATTTTACCTGGGTTACAAAAGGCTGCAGGTAGTGGGAAAAGTGGTCTTTGTACAAATTGATGCAGAGGCTGTTTCTTAATGGTGTATGGATTCTTCAACATATGACAGAACCTATATTTAAAAGCACATAATGAATGACATTTTAAGAGCTCTAATCTTTTAAAATTGGTTTCTACTTCTCATGTATAGACCTATGTAAAATTTAAACATAACCAGCAATAGAAATAATTAGAGAACTGACTTTTCATTTTCCATCTACATTATTTCCACTTACTTAGGCAAGCAATATCTATAAACAATTCAAAATCAGGTAGAGCTTAAATGGAAATTCCTACCCTTGATAACTGGGTGTGCACAGGATAATATAAAATCCAGGTATAAGAAATAGAATTGGGCCGGGTGCAGCGGCTCACACCTGTAATCCCAGCACTTTGGGAGGCCGAGGCAGGTGGATCACCTGAGGTCAGGAGTTCAAGACCAGCCTGACCAACATGGAGAAACCTCATCTCTACTAAAAATACAAAAAAAATTAGCCGGATGCGGTGGCAGGTGCCTGTAGTCCCAGCTACTCAGGAGGCTGAGGCAGGAGAATGGCATGAACCCGGAAGGCAGAGCTTGCAGTGAGCTGAGATCCAGCCACTGCACTCCAGCCTGGGCGACAGAGTGAGACTCTGTCTCAAAAAAAAAAAAAAAAAAAAAAAAACCAAGAAACAGAATTGTATCTACATTAGTAATTTATAATCCATAGTCCCAGACTCTTGGTTAGGCACAAAGGAAGCAAATAACTATAAACTTTTTCCTTTTTAAAAAATATTTAGAATTAGGCAATAGAGTCACATGGTTCAAAATTGATAAGGATAAAAGCATATACAGTGAAAGTCTCCCTCCTTTCCTGTCCCTTACCACGTTTCCCTCTCTCAAGATAACCTGTATTACCTGTTTTGAAAAGTATTTCAATACTTCAAAAAATCTAAAAGAAAGTATACTATTGGGCTGGGGGTGGTGGCAGCCTATAAGAAAAATATGGCTTTTTTTCCTACA